ACTAACCAAATATGGAAATTAACCGCAGATAATTTCTAAAATTAGATTAGTTTATGTAAAGGCGCAGTCGAATTTCGGACACTGCCCAGAACGGTCTCTCCTGTTGGTCAAATCAGAAGGAATTTCTATGACTATACTTGGTGGTGTATGATTCAGAAAGAATTACGCGGCCATATTTTATTTATTATTAATTATTAATTTTTAGAACAAGTTTGTAGCAGACCATTCTGGGAACACAAAAATTAACCTATGCAATTTATTGATTCATTTTGTCAACAAGCACTTCACCAACAATTATTTCGTTAACGAATTTAAGAAGTTGGAAGCAACCATGCGACGAACCATTGAAATAGTCTAATAAATTGAATTGTACTACCCGAAAGTGTATTTAAAGGATTGGTTTTTGACTTGGTTGGAGAATAAATCTCTTCCTAACTCTTGACCATATCTCTTAATACAATCAAAATAACCTTAATATAATGAATGTTAATGAAATGATTGTAAACACAATGAAATTAAGATACATGATTGAGACGAAAAATGGACAATGTATGAAAAATCAAACAAATCTATTTAATAAAAACAATATTTACAACCCAAAAAAATTTTTTTTGCATGTAATAAAATTCCATTATTAATTATTAACAATCTAATTATATAGAACTTGACCGATCAAACCCGCCTATATAGTTATTGAATAATTGATAATAATAAAACGTTAATTAAATATATTTTACAAACAGCTTCGTAGATCTCGACTTTATGACTTACTTTGATCAAACCCGCCTACAATAATAAACGTTCATTTTGGAAACTTGATTTGCCAATAGATCTTGACTTTAACACTTACCCGCCTCTATAATTATTTGAATAATTGATAAAGCGAAATCGAGTGGACTTATCCGAGGGTTGAAAAGACCAACAACAACGATGATAAGAAATCCCCACGCAAAGCATTAAAATCTAAACATCTGGATTTTGAGAAACAATTCATGAGTTCCAAAGCAAGAGAAAGACTACAAGTCACATCAGTGAGTCGAGTAAAAAAAGAAGAAGTGCAGACCTTGACCCACAGGAAGAATCAAGCACATCAAGAGCAACGAAACTGATACATACAATGAACGAAGTTGTCAGCAATAATAAAGGTTATACGAATGCAATAGAAAATTCGTACGACATTGAAATAATGATGATAATAATGAGAATGAAACAGTTGTAAATGACGACGGTGATGAGAGTTGTGACGCTGAATAATTTTTATTATTCTTTGTATTTTTTTTTTTTTCGCAATAAAAATTACATAGATCAAATTTTTTTTTCAAAAAAAATAAAAAAAAAATTTTTTCTGAAATTACCACTCAACGAAAGCAAAAAATTAAGTTTAAAAAACAAAGATTTTTCGGTTTCAATTGCAATTGCAACGCATTGCTTTGCAATTCAATTCAACGCAACTCAATTTCAATGCAATTGCAACCTGTTTTATAAAACAAAACCATTTGCCGTACGACACAGTTTTGCTAAATATGGTGAAAACGTTGATCGCGCCAAAAACCGAAAAGACCAGGCGCGGCTAGATGCAAAAGGAGACAATCGGCAAGAAAACTGCGCGGAAGTCGCACGACTTGCGAGTTTTGGAAGGAGATCGTGACACGGCAAATGTTAAATCTTTTTTTTGTGTTAATAATTATTTATGTCAATCAATTTTTCATTATGTTTTCTACTCATTTCAGTTGGAATACTTGCTTCTGACAACACTTTCTTTTTAAATATACAGTATAGGTGGTTATCCACCCATGAATAGTTTGTAGTTATGGAACCTTGTTTTTTTTATCAACTTGACTTTCTTCTACCAACATAGTTTCAGCTGTATATTTTCTAGTTTTGTCAGCTTCTCCAGCTAAAAATAAATTTTTATAATAAACTTATAATATCATAATATATTTTATACTTGCACTGTGAGAACATATTTGGCTCACCTAATTAAAATGAATAGGGAATACTGTAAAACAATAGAGGTTGACCAACAGATTTTTCATTTAACTCACAACAAAACAAGGTTTTAATCTGTAACACAAATTGAAAAAAATCACTAACTTTCATTCCTATTCTATATGGTATAGCTGGATCTGTTGTGTGTGAAATTGAAATCTAATTAAATTTTTGAGGTGGATATGAAATTCTGATGGGCAGTAGGGCAAAAATGGGTGTTCTGGCACACTCAAGTCATTCTTGCATATCAAATCGTCATTTAAACCCCAAATAGCATATCATTTTTTATATATCCAGAACACACTTAATTATCAAAATTCATATCAAATAAGATAACAAATATTTATGATATCCAGCTTGCATATCAAATCGTCATTTAAACCCCAAATAGCATATCATTTTTTATATATCCAGAACACACTTAATTATCAAAATTCATATCAAATAAGATAACAAATATTTATGATATCCAGCTTGATGTTAAAAAAGAGGAAGAGCATTGGCGAAGATATGAATGAAAATGAATATCTCAATGATGCTCTGACATTCTCTCAAGCTCAAATCACATATGATTAATATTTGATATACTAGAAAGCATTCTAAAGCCGATTCTTCACTACTTTTCTGGCACAAAAAATGTGACCATACACCTCAAAGGGTAACAAAAAATGCGACCATATACCATAAAGGGTAACAAAATTTCATACCATATATACCAAAGGGTAACAAAAAATGTAATCATAGGTAACAAAATTTCGTATTATAGTGGAGCTAGTGTCTCCGACACATATATATCAAAGGGTAACAAAATTTGGGCCAGGTTTTTTCACTTATCAAGGTTCTATTTTTGAAACCTTAGCACGTAATCTATTATAGTACTGAACCACATAGTACCCTTTTGATATATCGAAATAATTAATTAAACAAAAGATTTTTATAAGTATTATATTATAATTCTGTAGATATATACTACATACAAAATGATTCATACATGTGATAGATGTAACAAAGAATTCAAAAAATTATGGATGCTTAATCGTCATCTTCAGAATAGAAAATTTCCATGTAAACCTAATGTTATAGCTCCACTAATTAGTCCTATTCAAGTACCAGATGATGCAGAGCATCGAATCTCCAATTCCCCTATACCTGAAACAAACCCTATTCAAATACCCGATTCAGTTCAAGTTCAACCTACCAAAATATCTAGTACTTCTGATACACTATTCTCAGATCAAAAAGTTGAATGGGAATATCAAAATGTGAAAAGAAAATTAGGTAAATTCGAGAATTTGCAACAGGAATGCTGTATTCCAAAGGAGTTTACTAGACAACGATTTTATTCTGAAATAGAAAGAGAAGGTCTTGGGGAATTGAAAGGACAATTATCTTCCAGATGGGTTTCAGTTATTTATGAAGCCATTCAAGGTTTACAACAATATTTAAGGGGGAAGAAAGTGAAAGTTAGTAGGAAAGATGTTGTTGATTATATTCGAAAAAGTTTACCAATTCCACAAATCGATTCAGAAGCTGGTCCAGGTCCATCAACTCAAACCCATAGAGAGGAGGTATTACAAAACAATTCTGTTAACGAATCAAATATTACTCAGGAGGAAATCGATTTACTTATTGCATTGGGATTAATAGAAGAAGAACCAGAGATCGAAGAATCCTGGCCTGAATTGGGAGGTACTCTTTTAGCAGATAAGGCAAAGAGTAAAAAATTTAGATCACGTTATAAGGATTCAGGATTTGCAAGTACTACAGTTGAACCTCCACCAGGTGATATACTCTTTGAAGAGACTGAAGTTGGAGATCCTGATAGACCACACTTAAGTTTATCTTCATTAAGTAAATGGCAGGCAATTGTTCCGTCATATGAAAATCCTGCATATGATTTCAATGCACCAATAGATGATCCCGAAAAATATGCAGAAGCTCCATATATGCCACAGCTCATGGCATCAGCTCGAGAACAAATTACAAGTGTA